AAGAATAGCTAAGAGCATTATTATGATTTGGTCTTAGACTAAGAATAGTTAAGAGCATTATTATGATCTGGCCTTAGACTAAGAATAGCTAAGAGCGTTGTTATGATCTGGCCTTAGATTAAGAATAATTTAAGAGCACTATTGAAATAGTATCTGAATTGAATAAAATGTGTTGATATGAACTGAATAATATCAAAACTGTGAATGTCTGAAACGAACCTTGTGTGCATGATATCAAAAGATTTGATTATGAATTTAGATTCAGTTTATATGGATGTTCGACGCATTAGATATGCTTACTCAGCTTTACCGCTGAGCGTGTAGTGTGTTTTATTTGCTACACGCAGGTAAATAGAAAGATTAATGTGATCCTGGCGGCAGATGGGGCGAGATTGTCGGGATGGATGTGACAAGTTTTGAAACAATTTATGATATGTCAATATTAAAATCGCTTCCGCAATATTGTTGAATACTCCGTATTTTATATGTATTGAAAACTATTATTGGGATTAATAAAGTGTGTTTGAAAAGTTTTAAATTTTTTTACGATTACAAAGTTAAATGCTTTAGTCCGAATGGGGCTGCAGACCTGGACGGATTAGGGTGTTACATCAATGGTTAGTCATATGCGAGCTACATTTTCTTCGTTCTTCAATCTTTCACTGTTGGCGTCACTTATTCACGTCAAACGAGTCAATATATTTGTCTAGTCAGCATCACTATGTTTCACTTAGTCAATTCAGATTACATCGACCTTTTTGATGATAAACAACTAAATCAGTAGTCGCTTTATAGCAAGGTATCAGTTCATTCAACATGTTCGAGATGTCTATAGCTTTTAACAAACAGGTTCTTCGAACAAATCATCTTTACGTAGTAAGGGTAGCGATCCTCGATCGTCAGTTTGTCCATCATTCTTAACAGAGATGTGATAGTATCTTGACCGTAAGTCAATCTTAGAGAATACAATGGATCCTCTAAGCTGATCAAAAAAGTCATGATACGAAGTAAAGGATAACGAATTGTTCAACTGATAGTAGTTGATATAAAGTCTCATTGATTCTTCCTTATTCACGTTTGAACAGAACAGATACTCTCCGTTAGAGAAAACACTTTGTCAGATGATTCCTTGTCAGGCAGTCTTCATAGTTGAGTTTTTAGTTTCGATGGTAACATATTCAATACAGAGTTACAAATATTGGTCCTCTCGAGGATCAAGATTGACAGAGTTTTGAACGGTGAAATATAAGGAAGTTAATATCAGAGAGGTGACATACTTTCGGTACGTTCCTTCAGTTCAGATTATTCTTTTTGGGTATGGCACGAATAGACTTCACACTTGAGATGTTTTCGCATATATATATTCGAGATGAACTTGGTTGGTTTAGAAATCAGCTTTGTTTTCACCTCTATAAGGCTACCATCATTGGTCTTTAGTTGAGGAATTCTTCATCATAAGTTGACAACAGCAACGACGTTCAGTCTGTTAATGCATACTAAGGATAATGTCGATTTCCTTGTATGGTACTTCAACGATGTTTTACAAAGAATTGTCGCTTAATGAACGATTTTGATTCACATTAAGTAATCGCATAATGTGTCCTAATGAGTCAAACAATAATATCGGATACTTTAGATAACAAAGTTTATTGATTCTAAACGTTCGTGTTTGAATCAGCGATTAGATCGTCTTGATTCCACATGAGGATCTTTGACATCAGCTTCACAGATGTTTCTCAACATTTATCGTTTCTTCATAGTCGTCTCACTTTCGTACAATTTTGCGATGCAGATCAGTTTCGTCATTTGCGATGCGAAATGTACGTTGGTAACGTATCAGGAGATAATAAACATATCGTTTATTCTTTCGTCTCTTCACCGAGTACAAAAGTTTAACTAGAGTCTACGCTTGATAAAGTTTCAGTACTAATCAATTGTTATTTAATGAGAATTTTAACAAAGTCAATATTTATCTAATAAATTCTTATACCTTTCCTGGAGCAGAAGGATGCGAGAGTTGTGGATGTGACTGACACATTTTTTTTTAATTCAAATTTTGATCCGAAGATCGGTTTTAAAACCATTTGCCCCGATACCAAATTGTAACACCCTAATCCGTCTAGGTCTGCAGCCCCTTCCAGACTAAAGTATTAAATTGGTAATCGTAAAATTTAAAACTTTTCAAACACTTTTATTTATCACAATAATATTTTTCGTAACACATACAGTGCGGAGTTTTCAATATTGCGGAAGCTTAACAAATCATAATTACAAACATAATTTGTTTATGTTCTTTAATTCAAAACCATCACATCCATTCCGACAATCTCGCCTCCGTCTGCCTCCAGAATCACGTCACATCATTCTTTCTATTAACCTGCGTGTAGCAAATAAAACATACTACACGCTCAGCGGTGAAGCTGAGTAAGCATATCTAATGCGTCGAACTTCCATATAAATTGAACCCAAATTCATAATCAAATCATTTGATATCATGCACAAAGTATTCAGTTCAAATATACAATAATCAATTTTCAACATTCGTCATTCAATATTCATATTCAACATTCAACATCCTCATTCAATAATATCCTTAAACTATTCTTAGTCTAAGGCCAATCTATTTGATGTTTACCAACTCTTAAACTAGTTCTAGTTTAAGGTACTTCTATCCAACTCTTA